GCTATCGCCGGCTGTATCACACAGGGCTATTTTGGGCAGGCAGTTAAAGGCCACGCTCCGTTCCCAACGCCAGCAAGGGCACGGGCAGGCCCAGCAGCAGTGCTGCAGGAGATCCACAGTATCAACTTACCATCCAGCAAAAGGAGATCTGGCCTAGGAAAAGCAAGACACAGGCATCAGAAGGAAAAACAGCAGAGGGTTAACGCAGAGCACGTTTTACCACACACACAGCTGCAATGCCTCAAACTCCCCCCGCTCCAAGCTGAGCTGTGAGAACCCCCCAGGCAGCTCCCCTGCACTTCTGACAGCAGGGAGAGCACCCCATGCTAAAGCTCTGGCACAAACACCTGGGCACATACCTAGCAAAAAGGGCTCTGGCCAAAGCCAGTCTCATTCTCCAGCCTCCGGAAAACTCTCTGAGGAGAGAAGAGGTTGCACACAGGGGATGTTAGTGCTTAATGTAGAAAAACTCTGAGTTTGCTTGCCTGCCAGGCTGTCTGCTCCCACACTCCTCCACAGCCCTCTTATCTCTGCTTGTTGTCCATGGGCACGGCACGAGTCCTGCCAGGCCCAGCTCCTCCCCAGGCCAGCAGGCAGCTGGCTTGGCACCCCCCAGGCAGGAGACTGCACCAAAAAGGCAGGAACAGACCCAGAGCCTCCTGCTGGGCTCCCCTCCCAGTTACAGCTGCTCTCTGTGCGTCAGGCCAAGCCACAGCCATGGCAGCACCTGGGGCTTTGCTAGGAGAGAAATAACCCTGCTGGCCACCAAGGCCAATGTCTGGGACACAGGATCTCTCCAGACCCATTATATTTTGACGCCCAGAGACTTACTTGGTTTTCTGTTGTTGCATCTTTGTGTTGAAGCCCAGTCCAGCGAGAATGACAGATGCCCTGGAGAAAAGGGGGAGAACTGCAACTCACCTACACCATGTAGCTGCAGAGCACAGACCAAGCTACCAAACCCACGGCCACGGTGGGGGGCACTCTGCTATACGGCATACCCCAAACCACTGCCACATTCTGGTGATACAGACAGGCAGCAGTGCCTGCAGGACTGTCTCACCTTGCTGGTGCCTTGTCTGCCTCGATCTCCTCCAACTTTGCATAGATCTCCGATAGTCTGGCACCTTCCGTCCCTTCTCCCCTGGAGAAGGACAAAGAGGAGCACGTGGGACTGACTGAAGTCAAGGTTTGGGTGGTGGGGGAGGCTGATCTCCCCAGGTAGGACTAAAGTGGGTGAAATGCAGCCCTGCTGGAGCCTTCCATTGGAAGAGCAGAATCTCAGACCAAACCATTACAGCCAAAAGACCATAGGAGGGCTGAAACCCCAGACGCCCCATCTCACCTGCCAGCATTAACCCTGGCAGTCAGCTCCTTCTCCTCCCGCAGCAGGCTCTCGCGAGTGGTGTCGCACTCCAGCACGCTGTGCAGGGCTGGCGTCTCGTCGCCCACCACCTCCTGCTCCACGTGCAGGATGCTGATGTGCGAGGGGATGCGCAGGCTCTGGCTCGCGATCATCTTGAGCAGCGTTGTCTTGCCCAGCCCGTTCCTGCCCACCAGCCCGTAGCGCCGTCCGAACGCCAGGTTCAGCTCCGCTCCCGTAAGTAACACCCTGAGGTGGGAAAACAGGCAGGCAGCTCCTGCTCAGAGTGTCCTGTGGAGGAGGAGGCAACCAGCAGCAGCGTGCCCCAAGCAGACTTCAGGCTGTAGAGGAGCCAAGCAACCCGTGAAGGCTTTTCCTGCCCGGAGCCAACAGGATTAGGGGGGTCCAGCCTGCTCCCAGAGCCTTCCCACACCCTCTGTCATTCCCGACCACTTTGATGCGGTCTCATTACCCCAGCCTGAAAGCCCAGGCAGGGCCATCTGCACTCACCGCTCGCCAAAGGACACATCGAAATTCTCGATGCGCACATCATATGACTTGTTCTTGCCTGATGACTCCATGCGGGTCTCCTTCTTGCTGGCAGCTTGGCTGGCAGATGCCTCCTCAAGGACCCTGCAGGCAGGCAGGAGGCAGAGAAGGGAGTTTAACAGGAAAGCTCCAGCTCCAGCACAGTCAGCTGGCTGGGGGCATTCCCAGGCACCCTTTGTACTCACAGAGGACCGGAAGATTTTAGGGAATCCCGCTCCATCCTCTTGTCCTGCTTGGCTTTCAGCCTAGCTTCCGCCTTTTCCAGTTTCTTGGCATTTACCACCTAGGGCACAAGGAATAGAATTTAAAGAACAGAGGGCATCTTCAGCAGATGTCCAGAGAACCCGACTGCAAGAAAGGAGAGATCAATCCCCCGTGCCTGGAGGGGCAGGAGGGAGGCAGGACAGGGGAGCGGGGACAGATTCAAGTACAAGTTAGGGAAGCTGATCAGGCTCGGCAGTTGGCTCAGGAACGAACTTAACTTCTTACATACAACAGTTCTGCCTAAGCAAGGCAAAAGGTTTGGCTGACTGCAACCCTGTGCTCTTCTTCACAGCCACTTTCTCTCGTTTCAGGAGCCTGGGTCAGCCAAGTCACTTCTGCTGCTAGAACCTGCCCTGGTCCAGTGCCTGGTCTGTACCCTACACCTCCCTGGACATCATGCATTTCCTTTCCCCAGCATGTTAAACTCTAGCCCATTTGGGACAAAACCAAGTTAGGCAGTAGATCAATCAAGACAGAGACGAAAAGCACCTAATTAAGTCTGAAGGTAAGAAGGAGCCAACTGTTTTAATCTGGCCTCTGGCCTTGGCTAGGCTTGCAGACACTCCAGCTTATTCCTGTGTCAAGTCAAATATTTGTGGCTGACCAAGAACACTCCTATATATTTCTAGGCCACTGGAGCATGTTACAGACCTGCATGCTAGACTGAGGAGCGCCTTGTTGCTGCATTTGTAGCCCAGTTCCTACAAACAGACTGAATCATCCTGTAAACTAAGCTGAAGTCCTCAAATCTCCCAAATCTCTGGCCTCAAATCTGTGGCCTGTCTTCCAAAAAACTGAGAGGCTCCCCTGGGCATTCCCTGAATCTTTTCCAGTTTCTCTGAACATCCCCTTGGAGCCATGGACACGAGAACCAGTCAGCGAACCCAGGAACAACTACTCCAATGCCAAAACAAGCAACACATCCAGCTCTTGCCTAACATCCCCATTCAGACCTGCAGGGATCACATTAGGTCTCAGTCTCCAAGCTGCGAGTTCCTGTGCTCAGCACGTTACCCCACGAAGGGAGGGCTCCCCAAGCAACCTACCTGGTGGAGAAACGCCCCCAGCCTGTAAAGCTCTTTCCATCTTTGCTTCGCAGATGCATTCCTGCACCTCCCCAAAACACACGTGTCCAATGCAGAAGGAAACCCAGTCATCCTGACTACGTACACATTTCCACTAGCAAAGATGTTCTCATTTCCCATAGGCCACACAGAAGTTTCCAAACTTCTCTGCTGCTCAAATCCCCAGCAACCACAGCCACTCCAAAGCAGGACTTACAGTCTCCCTGCAGCAGCTCTCTGGAAAAGGGCGGCTCCCTGCTCCACGCTCATTCCCCATTTCCAACATCCTGACACCTAATCATTAACCACAGTATGATATGAAGTCAATGAAGTCAATGATAGGAAGTTCTGATTTCTCAAAGGCCGGGCAGCAGGAGCCAAAGGCCCTTAGGAAGTCAACAAGGCTGCGCTCCAAGCACTACCTCTGCATCAGCCACACTTGGAAGCTCATTACTACGTTATAGCAAAATAGACGCTGTGAATCAGTGCGTTGTTAACTCCTGTTGACCCTCTTTACCGCACTGAGAGCAACCAGTTTCACGCAACACAGCGACGCTCCGAAGCGCCGGCTTGCAGCCCAGCAGAGCGCGCGGCAACACGGACGTCCCGGCCCTCCGCTCACCGAGGTCTGGTCTCTCTTCAGCAACAGCCCTGGCAACAGGTCCACGCTGGCATCTGCAAAGAGTCGTAGAGTGAAAACGCGGCCCAGAGAGGCTCCAGTCAACGCTGGAGGCTTCTGCCCTTCCAATTCTCCCCCTGCAAGCAGCCAGGGGCTGGAAACGACTCTCACAGGGAGGCGAGCCTGGAAAAGGGGCATCCCAACCTGTCCCCACCAAGCGTCCCTGTGGGGACAGACCTGGAACCCTCCTTGTGAAGCCGGGGTGCCGGGGGGCACTCACCGTAGTTGTCGGTGATCTGGGAGAGCTGGATGGGGGCGTCGAGCAGCACCTGGCTGCAGCCCTGGGCCCTGCGCTCGTCCCTGCGTGGGAGGAGGAGGAGGGTGAGGCCGGGTGGCAGCGGGGCCGTGCCGTGCCGTGCCGGGCCGGGGTCCCTTACAGCTGCAGCGTGTTGAAGAGGCGCTCGCACACGTTGCGGATGGCGCCGTCGTCCTTGGCGTCCTGCGACACCTCGCGCAGCAGCTCGCCCACCGCCTCCACCAGGTC